TTTGTTTTTGAAGTGTTCAAGAAAAGCTGGTTCACTCTTACCCAGTTACAGATGTTGTTTACCTCTGTCTGTAGATTACGTGAGATAGTTTCAATAGAAGGAGCGCATATGTAGGCTGATGTGTCATCAGCGTACATATCCGCTGTGGCCTGAGCGATGGCAAGTGGTAGATCATTAGTATAAATGGTAAAAAGAAGGGGCCCTAAACAGCTCCCCTGTGGCACACCGCAAGGCAGTTCCTTAAAGGAAGAGTTTGTTCCATTGATGTGAACACATTGTTCTCTTCCCGTCAGGTAACTTGCCATCCATTTGGTGGTAGATTCATCAAAACCATAACACGCTAATTTCAAAAGTAGACAGTTGTGATCAACAAGGTCGAAAGCTGCTGAAAAATCTAGGAAAATGGCGCCTACCAGTTTCCCCTGATCTATACTGTGGTACCAATCATCTACCATGTGCAGCAGTGCAGTACAGGTTGAATGGTTTTCCTGTATGCATGCTGATGCTCAGACATAAGTGAATTCTTCGAGAAATAATCTGACACTTGTTTACAAACAATACGTTCCATTATCTTACTAGTGGCAGGAAGAAGGCTAATGGGTCTGCTGTTGGCACCGCAGAAGGGTTCTGTAGACGACTTATGGACTTAGGAATAGGTACCACTTTAGCCTTCTTCCATTCACTTGGATAAACTGAGGTTACAAATGATAGATTAATAATGTAACAGAGGGGAGTAGAAACATGCTCTGCTGCAATTCTCAGTAGCTTATTGTCCATATTATCCAGTCCAGCTGCTTTTCCTTCTGGCAAGGCCAGTAGGAGTTGGTACACTTCCTCTCTGTCCACTTGTCTGAATTCAAAGTTGCAGTCCTTGCCCGCCATGATGTTCTCTTCGATCAGGTGAAGCACGGTGTTGTCGGGTTGTTGTTCCATTCCTTGTCGCAAGGTGTTGACTTTGTGGAGAAAGAAGGCATTGAAATGTTCTGCAATGTCCTTGGGTTTTGTAAGGTAAGTTCCCCCTTGTTCAACCACACCGACTGCACGTTTTGATCCCTTTCCGAGAATACCGTTTAGAGTTTTCCACATTGCTTTGGGTTCGTTTTTGTTTTCCTCTAACTTTTCTTTGTAGTATGTTGCCTTCTTTTTCCTGTTAAGCTTCACAACTGCGTTTCGGAGTTTCTTGTAGACCTGGATGTCTGACTGTAGACCCGAGATGACGGATTCCCTCCTGGCCTCGTCCCGAAGACGCATCAGTTCCCTGAGCTCCTCGTCCAGCCAAGCCACTGGATTCGACTTCTGTTGTTGTTTTTTCATGGGGGCGTGCTGGTCTGCAATCTCGTTGAACATGACAGTGAAGAGATGAAGTGCTTCATCTACATCTTGTTCATCCTGTACAAGATGCCATGGTGCCAACTCGATGTCTTTCAGAAAGTCCTCAGGGCAGAACCTCCGAAAGGACCTCTTGTGTACTACCCTTGCCTGTGCTTTGGGAACCTTGGTTTTTCTCGAGATGTAGACTATGTTGTGATCTGAAAAACCAACAGGAACAGATCTAGCTGGAGTACATCTGTCCTTACAGTTTGTGAAGACAAGATCAATGCAAGTAGCAGTCCGACGGTTATTAGCAGCACGAGACATGTTTACCTCGACCATGATATAGTAGAACAAGCAGTTTCAAAAGATATTATAGGCCAACATTGCGATTTTCAGGAGGGCGGACCGTTTATTTCAGGCGTTCTGAAATAATTGGTCCGGCTGAAATAAACGGTCCGCCCCTAGTATTCAAGAGATTAGGGGTCAATGTCAAGAACAAAGACGTTGATTGCACGAGACATGTTTACCTCGACCATGATATAGTAGAAAAAACAGTTTCATAAGATATTATAGGGCAACATTGCGATTTTCAGGAGGGCGGACCGTTTATTTCAGGCGTTCTGAAATAATTGGTCCGGCTGAAATAAACGGTCCGCCCCTAGTATCTAAGAGATTAGGGGTCAATGTCAAGAACAAAGACGTTGATTACACGAGACATGTTTACCTCGACCATGATATAGTAGAACAAGCCGTTTCAAAAGATATTATAGACCAACATTGCGATTTTCAGGAGGGCGGACCGTTTATTTCAGGCGTTCTGAAATAATTGGTCCGGCTGAAATAAACGGTCCGCCCCTAGTATTCAAGAGATTAGGGGTCAGTGTCAAGAACAAAGACGTTGATTGTACGACATGTTTACCTCGGCCATGATATAGTAGAAAAAAAAATTCATAAGATATTATAGGGCAATATTGCGATTTTCAGGAGGGCGGACCGTTTATTTCAGGCGTTCTGAAATAATTGGTCCGGCTGAAATAATCGGTCCCCCCCTAGTATCTAAGAGATTAGGGCTCAATGTCAAGAACAAAGACGTTGATTGTGCGAAACATGTTTACCTCGACCATGATATAGTAGAACAAGCAGTTTCAAAAGATATTATAGACCAACATTGCGATTTTCAGGAGGGCGGACCGTTTATTTCAGGCGTTCTGAAATAATTGGTCCGGCTGAAATAAACGGTCCGCCCCTAGTATCCAAGAGATTAGGGGTCAATGTCAAGAACAAAGACGTTGATTGCACGAGACATGTTTACCTCGACCATGATATAGTAGAACAAGCAGTTTCAAAAGATATTATAGGCGTTCTGAAAAATTTACAGATCAAGGAAAGAACAAGTTTAATATAAGACAGATCAGAAACTGTAATACTAATCTTCCCTCTTGAAGTTAGTAAAAGTCAAGCTAATCGTGTGTTGTATAAAAATAACGTGTCGCAGCGTGTAGTGATAAGCTTTTGATCCTGTGGGCCTTCGTACTTTTTGAGCCACGCCCACTTCCTGTTCCCACGCTCCATATATGGTACCCGGACCGATTATTTCAGCCGGACCATATATTTCAGAACACCGTAACATACCGGATCATCCGTCTAAAGCGCCGTGGTGCTTCACAGGAGAGCGGGACTGGGAATACTGCCATGTCGAACGGTGTGAAGTCGGCTGTGTAGACTTGAACACTGTTGACGGAGACAACGACTGGGCTGGTTTCCTTCTCAGCTCCAACACAGATGACTACACCGACATCACGGACTTTTCAATGGCTACGAGAGAGGAGATTGCCGAGATGGGTCACCAAAAGGAGACCTTATTCTTCAATGCACCTTTGACAAAGAACGTTGCTCATTGGACGATTTCAAAGTCACGCAAAACGCCAAATATGGCAACTGTTTTACCTTCAACCATGGTGACGACGGCGTAGTTCGAAACACCACCAAGGTGGGAGCGGAGTACGGTTTAAAACTGACGCTGTCGATCGAAATGAAGGAATACGTGGGACTCTTTGGTCAGGATCCAGGGGCAAAGGTCACCATCCATAGTGTAGGGTCAACGCCGTTTCCTGAAGGCAATGCCATCAATACCAAACCTGAAGAGAGCACTTTCATCGGTTTGAAACGCAGTTCTGTCAAACGTCAGCCGCATCCTTACGGAGACTGCACTTCACGTCAGAAAAGAGATGCACTGTACGGTGGGAGATACACGTACGAGACATGTCAACATTCATGTCTGCAGGCAGCCTTACTGCGCGAGTGTGGATGTTCCGACGAGCTGATAGTCATCAATAGCACCTTGTGTAGTGTGCTGAACAAGACACAAGAATGTTGCCGTCAAGACGTCCGAACACGTCACGAGGACGGCAACCTGTCGTGCAAATGTCGTCAGTCCTGTCACGAGGATTCCTACGCGCTTTGGCTGTCATCATCCTTATGGCCGTCCGACAATTACGTCTGGTACGTGTTGGAGAACATCCACACCAGAAGCCAGGCTCGGAATCTGCCGGTCAACCCAGATGAACTGCGCCAAAATCTCACGAGAATTCACGTGTACTTCCGTGACTTGAGCTACGAACTGATCACTGAAAATCCAACTTATACGGAGGAAACGTTGCTCAGTGGCCTCGGTGGACTGTTAGGGCTGTATGTAGGTCTATCTGTTATCACGGTCTTTGAATTCATCAATTTAGTTGTTGATGTAGTCAAGGTTGCTTGTACCAAACAATGAAAGACAAGTGCAACATGGAACCACCTGCGATTATGACTAGTAGCTAACAAATTGCAAATATGTATTATGAACAAAAGGTTAATTAGGAACGACTGCTAGGCACTATCTAGAAGCTATGTAAAATTGAACCTAAAGTACACATGCACGTTAATGTGATATACTATCTTATTAAAAACTAATAGAGGCACAATGTAGACATTATGGTCATTACATGTATCAATTTGGTGTGGTGAAGGTTGCTCGTAAGCATAAAAGGAAAGATAATATTGGCACAAGTATATTAGAGGCAGGCAAATTGAAAATATCAACAATCTGTAACTGTAGATGGTGTGAACCTGTTACAAGTCAAGTGCCGTGTGATCAACAGTATTACCTGTATTCAATGTTACTTGTATTGTATGTTTGTGCGGTTGATACGTAAAAAGTAAACAAGCACTTTGAAATGTATCTATAGGATAATAAGATCTGAACTGAAAGGATAATACCGACGAAGGTAACTGCGTTACGTGTAGGTTTGTGCGCTTCACACATTAAAAGTAAAGGGGCTCTGTGAAACGTATCGTTCATACCGACGACGCTTATAGTACCTGGTCTGCTTAAGAAGATATCATAATAAATGGATTGCGAAGATTATCGTGGCTATGCGTTCTCGTCTTTTGATTGATAGAAAGATTGATAGACTTAACTGGTCGTGTAGGACCATTGCAACGAAAGGTAACCTGTCGTAATCCACTCAAGAATGTAGAGAATGCAATGCATGGTCGAAAAGTAAGCATCTTGCATTATGAATGATATTGAATGTCAAATTTATCTAGGAAATCCATTTTCACTGCATATACTTGGGTTTGACTTTTACCATAAATCCACTATATTAATGGCATACCAAAGTAGTTAATGAAATATTCAAGAGCATATTTCTGATAATAAGATTACATGGGAGTACATAAAGTGATAAAGAGTAGGTGTACGTCAACTAATACTCTTGAGTAGTGACTAATAAATCGTTTTTCAGCTGCATGTTGCACTGCAGATAGGTATTTTGCAAATATCATTTTATATCCAATTTGCTGAAGTAGAGTATGTTTTGATGATTAGATTACTACCTAGGCTCTGGCCTTGGTGCTTGAAAAGTTAGAAGCATTTTTAGATATTATCTCATAATTGATCATGCAGCACATATGATTCAGATTTTTCAACCTTCGCATACCAAGGTTAGTATTTTTTATTGTACGTCGATGAAGGTTAGACATCCAGGTAGTACGATACGCCAAAAAACAGTTACTCAAGCAACTGGATATGATTTTGAAAACGTCAGACGTTCAGCTAGTATCCACTAGCTTTCGTCAGTGACTGAGAGACCAGAGGGGAAAGCAGGTTTATAAGCACAACCTATTGATTGATATTTTTTATTGTCCCTGGCAATGCAACATCGTCGTCATCTATTCTGTGACCTTAGTCATACTTTGCACGACTTTGTAGTTTTATTGCCAGTTCCAGCATTGTGCATGGTTAGAGGATCGTCGTCATCCTTATGCCTGTGTCACATTGTCGACGAGCTTCGGCCGTATTTATCGATTGCCGAAAGATCGGCCGATTTTGAGATCGACCATGGACGATAGGCCATCGAGTTTTTGTTGAGATCGTTGTTACTTTATTTAGATATATACTTAGGTAACTGAACAACAAGTTCACTGTGCACTCCGTACAAGATTCCCGAGAATCATACCCTGAACACATAACACCGTGAACACGGTCCGTTGAAAGATTCCCGAGGATCATACATTCAACACATACATTTGTAACAAATGGAACTCGGTCCGTACGTTGAAAGATTCCCGAGAATCATACTCAACACAACACACCGTGAACACAGTACGTTGAAAGATTCCCGAGAATTCTCCATACCCATACATATATAACACATACTGGGTACTTGGTCGGCTGAATCACAAAATAAAAAGGACACTCATTACTCAACTGTTACTTCCGAATCGGCGTTCTGGTTATACAGAGATAGATAGCGCAAAGGCCGACGGGTTTCGCAGTTAGTCGAACGCGTTCGCAAATCCTCTGCTCGAATCGATAGAACCCCAAGACGGGGCGATAACTTCAAAAGATGACAGGGTAGGAAACACCTAACCTACTGCGTTACCAACTGGGGTGGCAGCAAAAATGTGACTTAGAATCACGTTCGGTGTGAAGTCCCTGCCTCCCCAGACTCAGAAAACAACGATATAGTACATTTTAGATATATTGGGCACAACTACACTTTCCAAATCTCGTGCCTGGGAGACATATGTAGAACTGAAAACATGTCGGTGGGGTTTGTGGACGTGTTTAGAGTAGCCTGACAGTACATTTACACATAGCATGTCAAGACTCTTGTCGGGTGATGTAGCCAGTTGTGTGTGTTTACATTTTAGAACCGCGCGGGAAATGTGGGCCTATCGTGCGTCTGATTGACTAGCGATGATGTCATTGACCTGCACAGCAGCGACCTGGTAACGCAGTTCGCCGGAAATTGGACTTTACAAAATGCTTCATATCTTCTTTAAAATATGGTATCATACCCCCCAAAATTTTACATGGCTACTTAGTTACCCCTTGCTTATAGATAGTATCAAGACTTTTATTTTCCTTGTGGCATTTCGCAGAAAATAGGATCTTTTGAAATGGCATTTCGCACCTAGTGTATACTAGTACTAAGTACCTATAACAAGCTGAAGCGTTCGGAAGTCGCTGTTCGGCTCTCGGCAATCTTCGGGAGACTTCAGTATCTGTTCGTATGGTTCTTTGGAATCCTCATCAGTTTGCGACCGTGTTCAGTGTACGTATGATTCTCGGGAATCTTTCAACGGGCCGTGTTCACGGTGTTATGTGTTATGTAACTGTATGATTCTCGGGAATATTTCAACGGACCACTGTATTGTGATGGCAACGGGCTGAATGAGTAGACGCAGTGTATGTTCTAACATACGTGAAACAATAATAAGGATTTTAATGGTTTACAAAACAATGTATTGTTAGATCTCAACAAAAATTCGGTGGCCTAGCGCCTGTGGTTAGACCCGTTAGTATACAGAATGATACAGAAATAGTTACCAGATGTACTGAAATTCAATAATCATAATACTGATCTCAAGTCATGTGTGGTTGTTTCAGCTATATGCAGGAAAGGCTACTCGCCAAAACCTGCATCCGGATTTCTCTTTTCCAAAGGAAGTACAGTGACGCCGAGGCAGCCTGTAAGTCTGATGGAGCAAAACTAGCCATGCCCAAGACGGGAATTGGACCTCGCTCTGAGAGACCTGATAAGAACGGTTGAAAAGAATTCTCTACTAGATTGGTGTAAAAAGAGAAAACTCCTGGGAATGGGCAGACGGGTCTCGCTTAAATGACTACGACTACAAGGTATGTTGACACGACCTGTGTAGTGTTGTATAGGATAGTTATTTGGGACAACAACTTAGTACCTCAGACAATAAAGTTTTAGTTCAGAACAAGTCCTATCAAAGAGGATGATTTTTAACCTCCTTGGTGCAATAAATTACCGAATAATACACAGAATACAAAGAAAACATTTAACCCTCTTTGCTCTATGAATCTCTCTCTCTCTCTCTATATATATATATATATAGAGAGAGAGAGAGAGAAAGAGAGAGAGAGAGAGAAAGAGAGAGAGAGAGAGAGAAAGAGATACGCATACATATATAATACAACAATTTTCATGCCAGTCTGCTATTTTTTTATCACAATCATAATTATGACAAATGCAATGTTGCTTGTTGCTGCTACTGATTTCTTGTTGATTTGTGTATTAAATCAGTAGCTATTATAGTACCTACATTTTTGAATTTGTGACATCGACACATGCTGCCTATTTAACATCGTGGAAAATGCGTTAAAGCCATTTTCAGGTACAATGAGAATAAAGATAAGTTTGTCTTTTTTTAGTAAACTAGGCAAACTTCTTTTTTCGGTAGGGATGGAATCCAGGAGAGCCGAAGAGTGCGGCCATGGTGTGGTTTTCAGGCTCAATGCGTGTGCTGTACTGGTCAGAGCCAACTGGTACACCTATGTGGGACGATACTAAATGCTATTATCGTATTGGATACATCTGTCAAGCTCCTTATCAGAGATCTCAGAAAAGGGGAAACAATCTGGGTGCTAAATTTTCTTCATGGCTTGGGAGGTGAAAGTAACTGCTGCTGCCACGTGCCTTGCGAACCTGACGTGTAAGAGTGAGGGGTGGTTATACTGACTGTATACTATTTCAGATACAGAAAAAAATTATACGATTATATCTGGCGAATATAATACATAGTGTACGTGTACATGTACAAATGTACCTGTATTAGGCCATACAATTTTCAGTTTAATGTTTGCTCAATGGGATGGATTGAAACAAGAGTGTTCAGTTTAAATCTACCAGTATCAATTTTTTTTAGCTTGTTGTGACATATATAACATCAATTCTCATTATTCCTCAAGACGGCCACATAAAAAACAACAAGAAACTGTTTTATCACGGAGGCATTCTCAAGAATGTCCTGAACATCTTTATATTTGTGTGTGATATAAATGTGCACACCTCCAGGACTATCTTGATAGTAGACCTCTTTAAATTTTCTTTCTATATGCTATTGGCATGTTTCAAGTGTACCATTTTGACCAAAACTTAAGATGTTAATTCATAATTCAAAGTTTCTAAACTGTTACATTACAGCCACTTTAGTATCATTGTATTACATTTATGTGAGAAGGGTATTGATAGTGCAATAATAATTACCATGAATTAACATTGTTAAAACATGTTATATTGCAACATATTATATAGCAGAAATTACAAGTATCTGAATATTCATAAAAAAATCGTCTAATCTTTTCCTTCAATGTTCTATGACTTGTGTTTGTCTTGTTCTCAATGAAGGATTGTACAGAAAAGATTCGTGAACATACTGAGTGTTAAAATAACAGTAACATGGAATAATCAGAGATTCTGTTCCATCATCCTTGTAACAGTTACTAAAAATTAACGATTGTCAAAATGAAAAAAAAAATGTCAGAATGGAAAATGTTTTGATACAAGACACATTATCATATTATGTAACATCATTTTTGGTCCAACACAAGAAGAACTCAACTTGCCAGACAGGTCAGTAAGCTACAGTTTATTAGTCTGGTTAAAAAGTATATACTTGTTGTGAATTGAAAGTTTTCTGTTTAAAGGGATGTCTGAAAATTACCAGCTCACTTCCTAGGGCTAAAGCATTTAGATTTGTGGTGTTTTGATTAAGAAATTTTGAAAATTGTCATAATTATGATAATGCATTTATCAACCACAATTATGATAGTGCATTTATCAACCATCTACCAACCATTTATCAACCATCTACAAGTGGTAGGAGGATAAAAAAAATTAAAAAAGTTTATAATATTGGGTTTGATAAGATTAAACAACAAAGGTTGCCTATAATATGAATAATAAAGTTGCTGGTCCTGAAAATGTAGAAGGTGTGGGTTCAAAGAATCCAAAAATTGTTTGATTGACAGGAAAAGATTGTGTTTTGACAGGTTTCACAGATTGTTCTCTTTGAAATGACATGATGTACAATGAGATCAATAAGTTGTGGAATGTATTAAGTTTTCTTTCATTCAAGAATTAAAATTATTCTGTTTCAAATTGGGCTGTGTTACGGTCTATGTTGCGGTATGTTGTATGGGCTAAACAGTGTGGGAATGACGCCACAATTGTCTAGCGACATTTGGCAAGAATGAATACCCATCAGTTAACTGGCATTAATTAGGTCTTAGCTGACTAAAACTGACCACTGAAACTGTTGTCGAGGCCCAGGTGCATGTACATGCTTCCGGGTTCTTGTATACCTGTATTATGCTGACTCGTTGCCAGATGTCTCTTTTATTACGTCATATGATAACACCTGTGACAGTGAAAGAAAGGGTGGCGTGAAGTTTCACCCTAAGTCTAAGAAAATTTATTTTACCCCAGTGGAGAACAAACTTTTGTGTCTTCCATTATGGTAGTTTATCGCCCCCTCCCAAGCCCACTATACATGATATTACAGCCATAGGCGTGCTCCAAAACTTAGAGCTTATATTCCTAAATACCTAATAACTATAATATAATTCTATATTAAAAGGATACAAAGTAGAAACAGTCATGTAACCAGCTTTTATTGTCTGAAATAACAAGTTGCAAAATTTACTGAAGACTACACGTCAACCCTTAGTCTACAAAAATCTCAACCTATGCTATGGCAAAGGTTCAGCTAACATAACACAACTCTAGCTGTTCCAGTTCAAAGTAACCAATAACCTTCATGTAATGTGCTTTGGAATGATTTACCAGTTCACATCAAAGCTTCAAGAAAGCTATTTTCCAAACAGTGTCGCCTCGACCTCTAATTTTTTAATTGTTAATGTTAATTTGTGTGCATTTAATAGCAATCTACAAACCCTTTCCTGCACAACTTGCAGTTTTTGCTGTTGGATTCTGAACGTGGGGTAAGATTGGTGAGCAGTACTGTACAATCGACAGCACCACTGCAGAAAAAAATAACCTTGCAAACTGTAAAAGGATTGCCCACATGTGCCTTCTCAATAGGGCAATATTAATTGTCTTGAATCACTGTGAGTGACCTGTGACTTCCAGGTGAGCCTCTTATCTATATGTAGTCCTAACAATACTGTCTCCCTCACTCCCTCAGTATCAATTGCAAGATCTAAGGAATTATCAGGCAGACTAGCAAGCCTAGGTGGGGTTCAGAAAAGCATACATTAAGTTTTAAGAATATTCAACACTAATCTATTCATACATACCCAGTTTGATAAACGTATGAGGTCAGATTGCAAAACAGTAGTGATATCACGTATAGTCTTAACGGCTTTGTAAATAGATGTAACATCTGCGTACATTCTAGGTGTACCGCTTAACACAGATAAAGTTAGGTTATTCGTAAATAGTGAGAAAATATTAAAGCGGACCTATACAACTCCCTTGCGGGACACTGCACTGAAGTACGGAGGGTTTAGAGAAGTAACAAATTAATTATAATGTTAACAATTTGTGATCTAGCCTTGATATAACTTCTCATCCTATGCATAGTTTTAGTAGAAAACCATACGATTTAAGCTTGGCTAACAAATTATCATGTTCAACTAGATCAAATGCGGCACTGAAATCAACAAACACTAAACCCACCAACTCGCCCCTGTCAAAGGCATTGAGCCAATCATCAGACATTCTTAGAGCAGAGGTTGTGGAATGATTACACGGTAATAGGCGTGTTGGCGGGTTGTAATGATGTTGTTCAGAGTGACATGATGTTAGATTTAATTATTCACAATCTTTTCCAATACTTTGCTTAAGGTTGGAGCTTGAAAGTAAGCTGATGGGTCTGCCATTGGCTTTTTATTGCTTCCAGTCGAAGGAGGTCTAGTCTAGTGTTTTGGGTAAGGGGCAAACCTTAGCCATCTTCCATTGAACTGGGAAATTGCATCCCATCAGTGACAGATTACATATATGTCTAACATGTGCAATGATGTAAGGTGTAGCCAGTCTGATTAATTTGTTCTCTAGCCGGTCTGTTCCACATATGGTAAACATGGTTATGTGTAGTAATAGTGTGAGAACGCCATCTATGTTGATTGGATTCAATTGAAAAGAGCATGACTTCTCAACCATGATATTCTGGTCGATAAGACCAGTACCATAATTGTTACTACATCACAACATCAGAATTAGGTTCGCTACCAGGTGACAAAGGGCGTAGCTCGACGAGTTACGGCATTTGGGCAGACGAAGAAAGCGACTTGCTTTTATTGACGTGATACACATCCTTCTTTCCTATGCAGACGATCTTCTTCCAGCACGTCAGTTTCTTGCGCCACTCCTTCATGTCTTCTCTCATCACACAGTGAAAGATGAAGATGAAGAGGCCCTGGAGGGTGTTGAAGATGCAGAACAGGTAGGCGAAGACAACATGGCGCTCTTCATCGATTACGAAAAAGCCGAAGACCCATGTGAGACCAAACAGAGCCATGATGCTGCAGGCTCGACGAATCTGGCGGATTATCCACTGACGATCTACCTCGATAGCATCAGCACCTGTACATGAAAAATCTCATACCTTCATGAAATATATGGGTTTTCGTGTTGTCTATGTAAATAAGGTGGTAATTACCGTAGTCTACTTTAAGTTATGGTTTTGTAAATTTTAATTACAACATTTTGCGTGTAAAATACCTCTCCTCCCCTTCATTCAAAATAATATTGTTAACACAGTGATGTTAACCTATAAGTAACTTGCATATGTCACAGGATATAAAAATTGCCATCATTTACCAATAAGGAATCACAGATTTTTCAAATTAATTATGTAAATTAGGTCTTCATTTGCATAATTTGTATCTATTGATGTTCTTCCTGCCAAAGATTAAATAGATTACATGTAAAAAAAAACACTATAATAACACTAGAAAGACCGCACATTTGCTTGGGAGCAAATACAGCATATTTCAGTCCATCTTCATTCCAGCAGTTTTTGTTCGTTGAGTGCCCAACTGAAAGCCTCAAATCTGGGGATTTTTTTCGGTTTTTAGTGGTCCGGAGCATTTCCGGGGAAACATTTTCGACTGTGCGACACCCCTACTCTTCTAGTCCTTTTATTCAATACCTTGCGAGACACTTTGCGGTACCCAGGATTAGGATGGTCGGCAGATTCCATCATCGTTATTGTAGATGACGTAATGATCTTAGGCACCAAAAAAATTGAATGTGTGGGTCACTGCGCGCGACTTACGTGCAACATGACCCCAGGTAACCTGCAATTGTTCGATGGCCAACGGCAGATGGAACGGGCCATTCTTTAGATCGAACGTGGAACGGGTATAGCACTTTTGGCCCTTTTTAAGCTGAAAATAGCCATTAAAGACCCCCAAATAAGTCCGTTGGAAGTGGTGTATGCCAAATATGTGACTGCTATTCTGTAGACACATGTTCAATGTACCCTTATACCAAATATCAGATCATTTGGTTGTAATACCAGGGCTCAAGATCCAAAAATCCATTTTTTGTCGAAAAATGCCCCAAAAAACCTTTATAAAAAATTTTCAAAGTCATGTATGAAAAAAAAAATGAAAAAAAACGCCTCGGGGTATTGGTCCACTCTAACTATATGACAAATTTCAAGTCATTTGGTTAAAAAAATGACAGAGTTGAATCTATTTAAATAAATGGCAGGAGGAGAAGAAGAAACATGAACACAATATATTTCATCCATACCATATGGTATTGACTGAAATATAATAGAACACTGTAATTATGGAATCTCCTTCTTAATTAAGCAAATTAAGTCTTCATTTGCATAATTCTATTTAATTATGCTCATCGCTTAGCTAACTATATACTAAAACCGATGAAAATACGTTGTTCATATCTGGACTTATCGACTTTAAATGATTTTATCAGAAAGTCACCTGACTTGACCTTTGACTTCCTAAGACCTACCAACGTAACAACTATCATCACAAGCCATTAAGGCGTTCTGAATAGATGTTGACCACAAAGTTGCCGAAACACAGACACACAGATACGCCCAAAACAATACCTTCATTTTTATAGAGGTATGAAATGGTCCACTGTCATCATTTTCTCTGTGTGTGTTAGTGTGATTGGCATGTGTGTGTGTGTGTGTGTGTGTGTGTGTGTGTGTGTGTGTGTGTGTGTATCTCTCTCTCTCTCTGTGAGTGTGCCTGTGGTGTGTGTGTGTGAGAGAGAGAGAGATTGTGTGTGTGTGTGTGTGTGTGTGTGTGTGTGTGTGTGTGGCTATCACGCATACATAAACGTTCCTCATACATGGACGGATGTCTACCATAGGTTTTCCTTATATCTACCTCTTAACTCTTTCTGTGTCTTTTCTTCCCGGACCAGTTTGCGCATGACCAAGATGAAGACCAGCAGGTTGAACAGGAGGATGAGACCCGCTGGGATCAAGAAGGCATAGATCAGAGGTTCACGTGCCAACCAGCAACTGTAAACAAACAAAGAAACAAACAATTAGATTATAGAAAATATTTTGATCTATGTAGCTTTTATTTATGTCACTTTAATCTATGTAGCTTTAATCTATATCACTTTAATCTATGTAGCTTTGTTTCTGGGATCTGTCTACCGATACCCATTATGCACCCATCTATCAGAACAACATCTACGGGGCCATTCAGCAAAATACAAAATGGCGAGGTGGTCCTAATGTAGAGGTGGTCTCAGGTTTGTCTGTATATCAATGACATGGTGGTCCATATACACAGTGCTGCAAGTGCAGATTTCTCAGGCTTTGGCTATATGCAAATTACAATGGCAGCAATGCTATGTGAGAGATTTAGAAATACTGATGTTCTGAAATGTTTAAGATATTTTTTTTTCTTATTAGGATGAAGACACAATCATCTAGCACGGGGCTATTATTACTATATACGTGGGGCTAAAACGAAACGGTATCAGTATAGGACCTTCGGCCGGGTGATTTGCTGTATATTACTAACTCCAGACGATAAAATTTGGACCATCGCACACCGGGGGCATGCCCCTATTCTTTTTCGAAAAGTATCGTGGGTTCTTTAACGTATGTATGGTGCATCTTTGACATATCCAAAAGATGAACTAATTTAAAAACCACAACAGAGGGACTTGTTTCTCACATTTTTAATATATTACTTACGACTTGTCCATCCTATATCGGTAGAGACTGGAGGGTCCCGCAGTTGACAGCGTAGCGACAAGAGGAAAGCCTGTACAAACATGTCAAAGCGCTTTTTAAAATTAATCAATTAATTTTTGTAACTGTTGAGGCGGAATGATAAGAGAGGCTGATTTATATTATGAAACTTATTATTAGACCAATTAGAATTCCGTATCCCGCTACGGTTGTGTACCGATTATGAGAAAAAGCAAAAACAACTAGAAAGGCCAATATTTGCTTCGGAGCAAATACAGCGATGGGTTCACCACATTTTACGACATGGCAGGGAAAGAATGAGAAACACAAGGGAAAACAATGATTTACATTGATATAACTATAATATGAAGTAACATACAACTAAAACAACAGTTGGATAGCTATTCCCTGCTTTATTGGTTAGGATTTTTAATTGCATAATGCAAAGTGTTGATTTTCAAA